AGGAGACGCCACCGAGTGCCGGCTGTCAGAGGACTCCACACACAGGAGACGCGACCGAGTGCCGGCTGTCAGAGGACTCCACACACAGGAGACGCCACCGAGTGCCGGCTGTCAGAGGACTCCACACACAGGAGACGCCACCGAGTGCCGGCTGTCAGAGGACTCCACACACAGGAGGTGACCGAGTGCCGGCTGTCAGAGGACTCCACACACAGGAGACTCCACACACAGGGCTGTCAGAGGACTCCACACACAGGAGACGCGACCGAGTGCCGGCTGTCAGAGGACTCCACACACAGGAGACGCCACCGAGTGCCGGCTGTCAGAGGACTCCACACACAGGAGACGCCACCGAGTGCCGGCTGTCAGAGGACTCCACACACAGGAGACGCCACCGAGTGCCGGCTGTCAGAGGACTCCACACACAGGAGACGCCACCGAGTGCCGGCTGTCAGAGGACTCCACACTGAGATTTACTATTGAGCAGTGGCTAAAAAGCAAGCGCCCACAGAGGACGGCTAAAATGTGTTCTGCACATGCGCATTTATATTGGACAAATACACTGCCCAAGCGTCTAGTTTTTCACTGTGTCGTTTTGCTTAAAAAAAAAAAACTTAACACATTTTTAATTTTTTTGGGAAATGGCAGATATTGTTTAAAGTGAAGTCCTGATATTTGGCAAAGCAAATTTCAAAGTGAACGTCTCTGCAGTGATTTTTCATGGTATCAGACATGCCTCTGACCAAGTCTGCTTTTTGAGTCTGATTCCTGGTGTGTGTCTGGTTAGTACATTCGATTGGGTGTCTACTTATGGACGCTGCTCAATAGTAAATCTCTTAGCGGGGTAAAAGTAGACAGTTGCTCATAAAAATTAGACCTTCGCCCACGGAAATGCGCCCAGGCACAATAGTAAATCAGGGTCTATGAATCAAACTTGGAGGTGAGTGCAATAGTGTGTTGGAGGTGGAAGAGCACCAAGGGGTGACACAGGAGTACCGGTACACATGTATGCAGCAGTGTGTTCACACTGGTTCACTTGAAGTACAGCGGTTTTAAAGGGACAGTCCACCATTATTGAGACTATATTCAGTTGACACTTTTTGTTGGCGTATTCGGATCACGATGCACAGGAAGTGTACCACACAGGTCCATGTGACGGTATTTAGGATTTAAAGGGACAGATCACCATTTAGGATTGTTTGTTTTGTATTTGTGTGCACTATTTATTTCTAGCACTGGTTATGTGCAGTCTCTATGGGCGTTTCTATGTATACATTGGAGACGTCTTGAATAGCACAGCAGGTTGTATTCACTATTTATACATGCATGTATTAGATTGTGAGCACCATTATATTTATATTGTTGCGCTGCATTTTTTTCATTTAATTTACTTTGTTACACGTGGGAACACATTATATGCTAGCTGTACAATTTTTTTTAGGATATTTTATTGCGCTGAAGGTTTTCTATACACATTAAACACAAAGAATGACAAATGACAAAGAATGTACCATTGTGCTTTAAATGATATCTACAAAAACAAAAAAAAAAAAAAGAAGAAGAACTGTCCAGGGCTGGAAGACAGATTGTGGAATCGCTGCACGCGGAACCTGGGCACTATATAGTAAAGTAAAAATACGGCTTCAGCCTAACCTCCTGGCGGTGCCCTTCTGACATGTTTCGCCCTGCCATTGGGGCTTAATCATAGAGATATCTCAATAATTAAGCCTCAAAGGGGGGGGGGAACATGTCAGAGGGGCATAGCCAGGAGGAGTTTACGCTGAAGCTGTATCTTTACTTTTCCATCACAGTGATTGGGTTCTGATGTGCAGCGTTTCCACCTTCTGTCTTCTGCTTCTGCTAGCCTGGATGAGCATGTTTGAATGCTGGCACCCAATCTGTGCTTTGGACTGCAGGAGGGAGCAGGGGCAGACTGACAACTCATGGGGCCCCCGGGCAATAGGGGATCATGGGGTCCCTGTGTCCTTGTCCAAATTCAAAAAAGCCTATGAAAAAGGTACCAGGGGCATCTCATGGGGCCCCCTACTGACCCCGGGCCCTCGGGCAATGCCCGAGTTTCCAAATGGTCAGTTCCGCACCTGGGAGGAAGGATTTGTTGTGCTTTGAGTGGCATTCTAAATTCTTTGTATATGTATCACACCAACATAGTCCTCATCAACAGAAGCACAAACTATTTACTTAATATTACATATGTTTCTATTCACAAAGCAACATTTTGCCCCAATGGATTTAGGTGCAAAACTCAAATCACTGGCAAAGTGGCTTACTGCCAATTACCTCCTTCGAGTAGTTGCAAAATGGTCCAACTGTAAATGCCAAACCAATCGCATATTCCCAGAATTAGGATCCATTGAGTGAAGTAAGCCCAGTAAGTTGCCGTCCAATGTATTTATTTTGAAGAGATAAGGCCCATTCGCACCAGTCAGTTTTTGGCTACACTAAGCCACACCTTGATGCACACTTCATTGCATTGCATGGTTTACTTTATTACCTTCATTTGAAGTGCACAAAGTGACAATTCATGTCTTCGACTGACACTCTGCCCTGGCCGACCACATTTGATTGAAATTGATCAAAAGGTAAGTTATGGCTATTCAGTTATTTCCAGATTTGGTCATTTAGATTGAAGCACACACCAATCAGAAGAAAGCAAGCACGTGCGGCCACCATTAGCGTGAAGACAAAGTTGTCTATCCATTTTGTAAAAAGTTTGTACTTTACTAATAAAAAAAAAAAAAAATGAAAACTATACACATGGCCCTTTAGTTTTGATATGGCTGCTATGCGGGTCAACAAGGTGGAAAGGGATTTTGCTGCAATGTAAGAATGTGGGTCATACTGATAACATAGTAAAAGAGATTACTGGAAGAGTATAGGGCAGATTACAGATTCAGTAAAAGATGTGATTTTTAATTGCCAACTAACCAGAGATCACACGCTTCAAGTACCTTTTACAGCTTCTTGCAGTGTGTTTCCGCATCTTAGAACTGGATGATCTGTAGAGCTCTTTAGAGCATTTCCAGCAGGTTTTTCCAAATGAGAAAAGGGAACTCAATTACACTGACAATTAACTTAGTTCACCTTATTTACAGATATCAGTCGCCTCCTCACCTTCCGTTTACCCTGTAAATGCTGCACCACTGCACTATAACTAATCTCTTCGATTGTCAGCAGGGCCCTCCTATCCCTCTTGTATTGATCTGTATTGTTACTGTATTGTCTCCCATTATATTGTAAAGTGCTGAGCAATCTGTTGGCGCCATAAATCCTGTATAATAATAATAATAATGGGCTTTACAGGCCATTGCAGCTTGATCTCTTTAATTTGAAATGGTCATATTTGGCAGCGGTATAACAAATTCAGACACAGTCAGGTCCATAAATATTGGGACATGGACACAATTCTAACATTTTTTGGCTCTATAGACCACCACAATGGATTTGAAATGAAACGAACAAGATGTGCTTTAACTGCAGACTGTCAGCTTTAATTTGAGGATATTTGCATCCAAATCAGGTGAACGGTGTAGGAATTACAACAGTTTGCATATGTGCAAGCTTAAAGTGTGTTACAAAAAAAAAAAAAAACAAAAAAAAAAAAAAAAAAAAAAAAAAGAAAAAAAAAAACAAAAAAAAAAAACAATGGGGGGGGGAAAAAAAAAAAAAAAAAAAAAAAAAAAAAAAAAAAAAAAAAAAAAAAAAAAAAAAAAAAAAAAAAAAAACTAAACCCACAACAGTAAAACCAGCTGGTATATGCAGTAAAGCATGCTTGGTATACTCATTGTGGAGCCTAAGGGGTTAATCCACTGCATTGTGTAAAAAGGCTGTTTGATCCTGTCTTCTCTGCCCCTCCTCTTGTTCAAATGTCCACATCTTATCTCCTGATAAGACAGACTGAACCTGTAGCCCTTCTGCACATGCTTAGTTTAGTGTGTATTGCCAGAGAGGTTTTTTTTTTTCTCGTGGGAGACTGCATGTGATCAGCACAGGGCCAATCAGCACTGTCCAGACAGAGGTCAGGGGTTTTGCATCGTCCTAGAGCAGAAAGAAAACTTCTCCTACCAGCTTTAATTAGTGCTCTGCTGAAGTCACAAGACTGCTCTAACTGCTGATGAGAAAAGGTATTTAGCAGTTTATATTTACTAAAATAATTGCATTTCCATGTTGTGTGTACTGTGGGAGACCAGATATAGTGAATGCGGGGTCCGGGGAGAGCGGATATAGTGAATGCGGGGTCCGGGGAGAGCGGATATAGTGAATGCGGGGTCCTGGGAGAGCGGATATAGTGAATGCGGGGTCCTGGGAGAGCGGATATAGTGAATGCGGGGTCCGGGGAGACCAGATATAGTGAACGCGGGGTCCGGGGAGAGCGGATATAGTGAATGCGGGGTCCTGGGAGAGCGGATATAGTGAATGCGGGGTCCCAGGAGAGCGGATATAGTGAATGCAGGGTCCGGGGAGAGCGGATATAGTGAATGCGGGGTCCGGGGAGAGGGGATATAGTGAATGCAGGGTCCGGGGAGACCAGATATAGTGAATGCGGGGTCCGGGGAGAGCGGATATAGTGAATGCGGGGTCCGGGAGAGCGGATATAGTGAATGCGGGGTCTGGGGAGACCAGATATAGTGAATGCAGGGTCCGGGGAGACCAGATATAGTGAATGCGGGGTCCGGGGAGAGCGGATATAGTGAATGCAGGGTCCTGGGAGAGCGGATATAGTGAATGCAGGGTCCGGGGAGAGCGGATATAGTGAATGCAGGATCTGGGGAGACCAGATATAGTGAATGCGGGGTCCGGGGAGAGCGGATATAGTGAATGCGGGGTCTGGGGAGACCAGATATAGTGAATGCAGGATCCGGGGAGAGCAGATATAGTGAATGCGGGGTCCGGGGAGAGCGGATATAGTGAATGCAGGGTCCTGGGAGAGCGGATATAGTGAATGCAGGGTCCGGGGAGAGCGGATATAGTGAATGCAGGATCTGGGGAGACCAGATATAGTGAATGCGGGGTCCGGGGAGAGCGGATATAGTGAATGCGGGGTCCGGGGAGAGCGGATATAGTGAATGCAGGGTCCGGGGAGAGCGGATATAGTGAATGCAGGATCTGGGGAGACCAGATATAGTGAATGCGGGGTCCGGGGAGACCAGGTATAGTGAATGCGGGGTCCGAGGAGAGCGGATATAGTGAATGCAGGGTCCTGGGAGAGCGGATATAGTGAATGCGGGTCCGGGGAGAGCAGATATAGTGAATGCAGGGTCCTGGGAGAGCGGATATAGTGAATGCGGGGTCCGGGGAGAGTGGATATAGTGAATGCAGGGTCCGGGGAGAGCGGGATATAGTGAATGCGGGGTCCTGGGAGAGTGGATATAGTGAATGCAGGGTCCGGGAGAGCGGATATAGTGAATGCAGGATCTGGGGGAGACCAGATATAGTGAATGCAGGGTCCGGGGAGAGCGGATATAGTGAATGCAGGATCTGGGGAGACCAGATATAGTGAATGCAGGGTCCGGGGAGAGCGGATATAGTGAATGCAGGATCTGGGGAGACCAGATATAGTGAATGCAGGGTCCTGGGTTTAGTAACACTTTAATAAGTGTTCACTAAGTTTCAGTCCAGGGTTTCTGGGAATATTTTGATTGCATTTATTCTACCAAGACTTTTCCGGAAAACTTCACGGGAGCTGTAACAAGTAATAGATGTGCATAATTAACACAAAAAAGTATATTTAAAGCCAAAACGTTTTTGCTTTGGATGAAGTAGAGAATAGCTGAAATTCCAAAATCCATCAAGTTTCTCTTTTTGGCAGTTTGTGTCCCACTGGGGAGACAGAGGTCACCAGTGCAATTAGATAGAGCGAATCATCCTGGCGGGGAAACAAACAGCAATAAAAACCTGACAAAGGTACTAACCCTTCCTTACTCTTTTCCTTACTCAGCAGGGTTTAAAGGAACCAAGAGAAGTCACTTGGTTCTCCTCTTCCATCCACTCACACAAGCCTTGCAATCCTCTTGTGTCCCCAGATTAAATATTGTCACTACTTGTCTATTGTGTTCACAGCAGCTAAAGCTCAGGGCTACAATAGCTTTAGCTTAAGTGTGGCAAATAAATCTAAAGGGGATCTACCTCTAACTCAGGAAACCACATCTCTCAGATAATCACCTACAACCTTGTATATAGTTGCAAGAAAAAGTATGTGAACCCCTTGGGATTCCGTGGAGATTTGCATGAATTGGGCATAAAATGTGCTCTGAACGTCATCTCAGTCACAACAATAGAAGAACACAGTCTGCTGAACATAATACTACACAAACATTAGATGTTGCCATGGTTTAATTGCACATAACATGTAAACATTCACAGTGCAGGGAGGAAAAAGTAGGTGAGGCCCTAGCTTAATGACTTCTCCCAGAGCTAATTGGAGCCAGGAGTGAGCCAACCTTGACTCCAATCAGTGTGATGATATTGGATGTGTTGCTGACACTTGTTTTGGGTTTACTGGTTTCAAGAAGCACTGTCTGATGTGAACCATGCCTCGCAGAAAAGAGCTCTCAGAAGACCTACGATCAAGAATTGTTGACTTGCATGAAGCTGGAAAGGGTTACAAAAGTATCTCCTTGAGCCTTGATGTTCATGTGTCCACGGTCAGACAGACTGTCTACAAATGGAGAAAGTTTAGCACTGTTGCTACTCTCCCTAGGCGCGGTCGTCCTGTAAAAATGACTGCAAGAGCACAGCGCAGAATGCTGCATGAGGTAAAGAAGAATCCCAGAGTGTCAGCTAAAGACCTACAGAAATCTCTGGCACATGCTAACATTTTTGTTGACACATCTACAATAAGGAAAACATTAAACAAGAATGGAGTACATGGAGGACACCACGGAGGAAGCCATTGCTGTCCAAAAAGAAGATTGCAGCACGTTTGAAGTTTGCAAAAGAGCACCTGGATGTTCCACAGCACTACTGGCAGAATATACTGTGGACAGATGAAACCAAGATTGAGTTGTTTGGGAAGAACACACAACACTATGTGTGGAGAAAAAAAGGCACAGCACACCAACATCAAACCTCATCCCCACTGTGAAACATGGCGGAGGGAGCATCATGGTTTGGGGCTGCTTTGCTGCCTCAGGGCCTGGATGGATTGTTGTCATTGATGGGAAAATGAATTCCAGAGTTTATCAAGACATTTTGCAGGAAAACGTACGACCATCTGTCCGCCAACTGAAGCTCTGCAGAGGATGGGTGATGCAACAGGACAATGACCCAAAGCATACAAGTAATTCAACAAACCAATGGCTGCAACAGCACAGAATACGCCTTCTGGAGTGGCCCAGTCAGAGTCCTGACCTCAACCCGATTGAAATGCTGTGTCATGACCTTAAGAGAGCGATTCACACCAGACATCCCAAGAATATTGCTACACTGAAACAGTTTTGTGAAGAGGAGTGGTCCAAAATGACTCCAGATCGTTGTGCAGGTCTGATCTGCAACTACAGGAAACGTTTGGTTCAGGTTATTGCTGCCAAAGGAGGGTCAACCAGTTATTAAGTCCAAAGGTTCACATACTTTTTCCTCCCTGCACTGTGAATGTTTACATGTTATGTGCAATTAAACCATGGCAACATCTAATGTTTGTGTAGTATTATGTTCAGCAGACTGTGTTCTTCTATTGTTGTGACTTAGATGACGTTCAGAGCACATTTTATGCCCAATTCATGCAAAACTCCACGGAATCCAAGGGGTTCACATACTTTTTCTTGCAACTGTATACTGCTGGCAGCCTTCATTCAGAAGAAAAAAAATCTAATTTTTGTTCATTGTTCTGTAAATTTGTTGTGTAAATATCCAGTTTTGGCAATCGTGGTCCTTCATGTGCTGAGAAGGGGTTCACTTTTCCCAGACGTTGTAAAGAACACAGGTATCAGTACACATTCATAGTTTATAGTTTGCCACATATAAGAGGTGTCCAGATAAAGTGTTAATGGGTTTTCAGAGCTTCTCTCATTACAGAAGTCACGGACTGAATGATTCATAGGCACCCTGTGGAGAAAAGCAGATGTTCCAGGGTGAAGGTGACTGCATCTCCCTTAGTCAGAGCCTGCTTTATGAAACAAACAAGAGAAAATAGCAGAGTTCCTTGGATACTAATGGTTCCATATGTAATATGAACAAGCCACCAATTTGCATGAACTGTATTTGGAAAAATTGCTACTGAAGAATATTCGCCTTGCAAATTGGAACATGAAACATGGAGCAATGAACTGGTTCCTTGGGTGTGGGAAGGATGGCAGGTGAGAGCTCGCATGTTAAAAGTTGACCTGCAGAATCAAATTTGCATGAGCTTCTCCATTAGGCATGCAGCATTTATGACAATCCATGATCCTCCTGTCCAGGTAAAAAAAACTTACTGGGTTATTCCAAAAACCAGAACAAGCTTGGACTCTAGTATACAAAAAAAATGAACTTACATGTTCCCAGTAATATTACTGACCTGTGTGGGTGGTGCGGAGTGGGAGCATTCTTGCCGACTACTCCAGTTTGTAAGCCCACGGGGTTCTTGGGCTATGCCAGGCAGTGGGGGGGGTCACTTGCCCTGCACAAGGGGTACCTTTCAATGTGTACACGCATTCATCAATGCCTGGGACTGGGCAGATTTCAGGTGAAAACCTTAAAGTGGTTGTAAAGGCAGAAGGTTTTTTACCTTCATGCATTCTTTGCATGAAGATAAAAAACTTTCTGTGTGATTCTCTGCCCACAGTTCCCCCCTAATACTCACCTGAGCCTCCTTTAAATCCAGCAATGTGCGAAAGAGCCTCGGCTGTACTGGGACACCCTCTCCTCATTGGCTGAGACAGCAGCTGGAGCCATTGGCTCCCAGTGCTGTCAATCACAGCCAGTGAGGAGAGTGCGGGGTCAGGGCTGAGTCATGGCTCTTAGAGCTGTGTCTTAGAGCTGGATTTGAGAGCGAGCACACACCAGTGCCCCCATAGCAAGTGGCTTCCTATTAGGGGCACTGATCAAGGGGAAAATCAGGAGTACCAGTGGGGAACCCAAGAAGAAGAGGATTGGGGCTGCTCTGTGCAAAAGCATTGCACAGAGCAGGTAAGTATGACATGTTTGTTATTTAAAGAAAAATATCCAAACCTTTAACACCACTTTAAGGGGGCCCCCGACTTAGAGATGAGCCGTGCGTAGTAATTAAATGTACAGAACTCCTCTGTGAAATGCTGCACCCCATGTCACTACACACTTTACTGTAACTGTTGCAGGAGAGGCACTGCTGAGCCTATGCTCTCTCCACCTGTCCAGCATATTCTGCCACCTCACTCCCAGTGACAGAATGGGGTCCCAGTGAGCACCTAGCACTGACCTCATGCATGCTCACAGATAACTCCTTATGTCCTCTCCTGGACCATGTGGCTAGGCTGTGTTTCTCCATAACACGGGTTCGGTCCCTGTTGCTATGAGATACTTCAATATATAAAATGACTTCCTTAACTCAAGTCCCACCAAAAAGTCACACTTTCTCCCTAGAAAGTACAATATAATACATATACCTTTTTGTGATAAACCACATAAATTCCCAAAAACCATATGAAAAAATAAATCAAATAAAATATAAAGTGTCCAATTCAATTTCAGTCTCAAATGTGTCCAATAAAAAGTTTCAGATGTGTCCAATAAAACCCAAAATGCAGATTTTCCACTTCAATCCAGTAAGAAGGAATATAATCCTAATTAATTCCACGAAAACCTCAGGAAAAAGAAATAATCTATAGTGCATTATCTTTAAATATATACAAAACACTCCAATCCATGCAAAACACAAACCACTCTTTAAATGTGCAAAAAAAAAAAATATATATATATATATATATATATAAATATATATAAACCAAAACGTGAACACTCCGTGATCACTCCAAATATTGTGTGCACTCTGTGATCCAGCCAACAGTGATACTAAATACTATTACCCTCTGGGAGTATTCATAGGCATAGGCTATATTATGAAATCAGACTCTTCCCATTCCTTTGCTTCAGGGGTACTCCTCCAAAGTCCATAGCCTTCAGCAGATACGCCTCATCACACACTTGTCAAAGAGAACTGCAGAGCGAAACGACAATAAAGTCAAGGCACATCATAAAAGAACAGCTGGGTCAACACCGTGCTGAGTACCAGTCCGTAATGAGGAATGTAGACATTCAATAGGCTGACGCTTTTCGAGGGCTTGCCTCTTCCTCAGAGCCACTGTGATGACGCTGTCGGAGCTTGTGCCAGCACGGTGCAATACAGCGTCATCACAGTGGCTCTGAGGAAGAGGCAAGCCCTCGAAACGCATCAGCCTATTGGATGCATCTGTCCTTAACTCACTATGCTAGTGGCTGCCCAGGCATAACTTGAAAAGGTGAGAGTCTATAACATGGTCCAAGTCCATAATGTGGTAGTTCTCTGCTGAGCTGTGCCTTCGAGCAGACTGTAAGAGCAGTGGACCCCCTCCGCAGCATGGTGTCACAGCATCTTCAGAAGTA